TTAATCTACAACAATGAAAGGAAGCGATCCAATCTAGATCTGGTATATCCATTAGAAAAAAATAATCTCTTCATGAAGAATACTTTGCTGTAGACCTACTTAGCACTTATATTGATGTCCTTTACATTTTTTCAAACTATTTTTAATTAGTTTGTTAAAGGTAAAAGATGAAATTTTCACCTAGATGGTTTAAGAAGAGCTCCTAAGCTCGCAATGACATCTCAAAAGGATGTATTTGGACAGCTTTCATCTGATGACGACTTCACTCTAGCCTCACTACGAAATCTGCCTCTAAAAGTTGTGGATCTTCTTTTAAAAACAATACAGGCCCTAGCCACATCATTAAGCCTAAAACTAGGGAGAAAACTCAAAAGCTATTTATCTGGAGATCTTTCCGAGCTGACTCATAAACTTCTCAAGGCTGCATCATCAGCTCAAATGCATAACATGTATGCAGATCATACTTAAGGACTTGTTGATGCATGGTGGAGAAAGGCTCCTAATGCAAGTATAAGTTTTGTTGGAGGAAATGTTAAAGGTGTCCAAAATGACACAATAAAATGGCTTAACAATCAAGTTGAATCACAACAGGAACAATTAATCAAATGTGCAGTCAGACACAGGACCAAGCTTGACAGCTTTTTCAACAAAGATAAGTCACACACCAAAATGCATTGGAAAGAAAGCAAGATGATCTTTTTTTTAAAGAGAGAAAAAGCTAACCACAACAAATTTGAAAAATTGATCTCCAACATCTTAGATCAAAATCGACCTGTTCTACAAAGTTCTAGAAATGGACATCTTTTCAAATTCAGAAGAGGATCAAAAGTCCAAACTGCAGGAGTTTTTATACCATTCACAAACCAATATGCCTAGTAAATGTCCCAATTATTTAATCCATCATTTATGGAAGGTCGATGTTCAGGATGTTATGTATTGTAATCAAGGACAAAACCATTTCAAAGAGTGGTAAACAAATAAAAGAAATTTTTTGTTTCCTTGACATATTGGGAGGCTAGAGATCAGATTTTGCTGTTGGAGAGGTAAAATTTATGTAATTTTTTTAAGGAGACTTCAGTTTAACAGTTTTTGCCCATGTTAATTTCTTTTTTTCCTATCCTTATTTTGACGTCCGCAGGATAGGAAAAGCAAGAGCAGCCTTCCAACAACTCAATGTTTGGGTCTCTAACAACTTAGGCAGCAAGTTAAAAGTAAGGATTTTTAACGCTATGGTAAAACCTGTGCTGCTATATGGAGCCGAGACATGGAGAACAACGGCCCTAAACCTGACCAGAATCCAGTCCTTCATCAACAACTGTCTAAGAAGGATTCTCAGAATTCACTGGCCAGACAAAATCAGCAACCAGGAACTGTGGCAGCGGACAAAACAGAAACCCATTGAGGAAGAGATTCTCCAGAAGCGGTGGAGGTGGATTGGTCATACACTAAGAAAACCTGCTTCTAACATAACAAAGCAAGCCCTGAAATGGAACCCACAGGGTAAGCGGAAAAGAGGCCGTCCAAGAAACACTTGGCGCCGAGAATTGGAGACAGACATCAAGAAAATTGGCCATGAATGGAAGATCCTGGAGAAGCTGGCCCAGGATAGAGATGCCTGGAGGTCTCTCGTAGGTGGCCTATGCCCTTGGAGGAACCGCAGACGCCGACGATGATCGGTGGATGCCCCTCATGGACGAGAAGGCTCAACAACAACAACAATTTCTTTTTTTCCAAGAAACCAGATACTGATGATTGTATAGTATATTTCTACACAACTCAATAGAGTTACTAGCAAAGTTCCAGTGCTTGTAACTCATATCAGCATTTTTGCCTGATTGAAATTGAAAGTTTGCTTTAGAAGGTAAGATTTTTGTTTCTTTGTCATGACGGATCAAATGCACTCGAATTTGGTAGCAATAATAGAAAGAAAAAATACACAGGCTTAGAGACATTCTTCTAGAGTAAGGGTTGGGAGGCTAGTTCTAGTAGTAGGGGCAGGGCATAATCTTGATGACGATTTGATACTCTAAGAGTACTAAGATTACAAATAAAAGGCAATGACTTTTCGGGTCTAGAATTCATTATGTGTGAAAAATAACTTATGATTTTGGAATTTTATTATTTTAAATTGAAAAATGTATTTATTTTAATTTTGTTCAGTTATTTGATCTAAGCCTATTTTTAATACTTTAAAACTTATTACTTTTATCATTTCACAGTATCAGTGTAGTGAGTGAATAGGATGCTACTACTAGACAACCCAAAACTTTTCCTGATCCTGCATCTAGACCTCAACTGCGCTACCAACGGAAACAAGACAAGATAGGAAGGAAAAATTTTTTTTTACACAAAGCTGAAGATGATTTGTAAATGTCCCCAAGCTTTGCAGCTGCATAGGGAACTAAGCGGATATGCTTTTCAAACTTGATATTCCAAATGATGAACAAGAATTTTTAACACTCATTGTAGTAATAATGATCTAGCCCTGATTCTAAATTGTTATTGCTTTAAGGAGTTTATAAGATAAGATCCTTTTATTGATATGAATATATAGAAATGATTTTTGATTTTATTGTACAAATTCAATTTCAGCACATAAATATTGTAAAAAACTATTCAAACCAAGAAAAATTTTAAAACTAGAGCAATTTAAACACAAGACATCTGAAGTATTTTTAAGTATAAAGAATTAGCAGTCATATACCGGTACCATCAAACTTGACTCCTTTAGTGACACTAAAGACTTAATTACCGCAGTGTTCATGTATATTTTGTGATCACTGGGGAGCATGGTGGTAAATTCTGAAAAACTGGGGAACAAAAGAATATTTATATTTTTCAGTCCTAACATTAAAGGAAAGAATTTTCCCTGATCGAGGTATCTGTGATGGAGAGGGGGGGATATGTCCTCCAAATTTTAATTTTTTAAAACTGTAATAGCCTGTGTGTTCACCTAGTGTTGAGCCTGCATGTTGTAGAGCTATGGTGAGCATTGCTTGTCTCCCACTTTGTTCTTGTTACTGACGTCACCAATAACATGGTGACACATACTGCCACTCATTTCCCCCACCACCATTGATTGGGAAAGTTTGTTTACATTTCCAGAAGAGTCTACATAGAGAGAAGAATACTCTAAAGATTGAATTTTTGACTCTCTGTTATGGACGGTTCCTCATCATAAATACAACGGTAGACTATGACTGGCAGACTTACGAGACTTACCAGAGATAAAAGACAGGAGACCTTACAAGACTTACAACTTTTTCCCTGTGTGTGTGTTTAATATTTTTAAATTTCTAGTATAGTACTTTTTCACTTGCTAAGTTGTAAGTTAATATAGTTTTTTATTTCAGTTATTTGATTTTGTATTTTTATATCGCCTTAATAGTACAATTAAATTAATCATTGTTAATTATCAAAACATTGGTATAATTTTTCTTTGTATACCCACTGTTGTAGTTGTGTGCATTGAGTCATCAATGTTGATTATTTTCATGAGCTCATTTTAAAAATAAATACCCTTTTGTTGAAACTTATATGCTGTTTATTGATTTACAATTTTTTTATGTTATAGTTAGCTTTGATTTTCAGACCCTGTCAGAACTAAATGTAATAATAAAGTTCATGCAACAAAAAAAGTCTTGTGTGCTTAAGTTTTAATCAAACTTTACTGATTGCACACCACCATTACACAAAATTGTCACTATAAATCTCTCACAAAAGAAAAATCCAAATGATCATTCTCCAATGCATTGGCCTGCATGTTATTTGGAGACATCAGTTTTTTTAAATTTTTTTTTTCAAAAGGCTTTGCCTTAAAATCTGTTAACATTTTATGTTTTTTTTTTAGCCTAAGACTGAGCTTAGCCTATGGAATCATTTATAGTTCTTTGAAGTGTCCTTTAAATTAAAGCAAAAATTAGCAGATAAATAATCATAATAATAAATATCCTGGCTCGAAAAAAAAAAAAAAAAAAAAATTTGTCTTCACTTATTCATTTTTAAAGTTTTATTTATGTTTATGAATCCCTTACAGATCCTCATTCTGATGAACAAGACAAAAATGATCTACTGAGTTCCCACAACATTATACAGAATAACTCAGAGGTAGTTTCTCATATTGAAGAAGATTAACTTATTGTACAATCTTAATCTTCTCCCCCCTCTCCAATCCTTCGATAATCTGTTGCCTTGTGAGTAAGTTTACATTTGTAAAGTCAAAATCTGAGAGAACAACCAACTTTAGAATAGGAACAGTCTGACAGTCAAGCCATGAATCAAAATTATTTTATTTGTCTCACTGAAAATCTCAAGTGAAACTATAATCAAGCACTTTATCTAGAATCAACTATGTCCGCACAGCTGGTAAAGGCCAAAGACTGAAATGGTCATTACAGTTAAACATCCAACTGCAATGCAGGAGTTGGTGGAATTTCATTGTAAGACCACCTTTGGGGCCCCAGGCTGATGAGCTTGGATTCTTAGTGAATAATTTTCTGATATTGCTGGAGTTTGAGATCCAGCCCACAAGTTTTTATGCCATGCCTTTGTTTGGTGCACCCAACCACACAGACACATATCCACTGACCCATTTTTAACATTCATTGATGTAAAATCTATATTGTTTGAAGTTTAATTTTAAAGATATGTTGCTGTTAAATAATATATAACACATTCCAAAGGCTGGTATTTCAGAGAGGACCTATGCCAGGGCCCATTAGCTATATATCCCTAATAGTTGTCCTATTAAAGGTAACTTAATTTGTATAGACATGATACAGCTTTAGTATATTGGCAGCAGGAAAATGTAAAAAAAAAAAAAACGAAACAGCAAAATATAAATGAAAATGGTTTTGATAAGGCTTATTCTGAAATTTTTGTTATTAAAAATGATAGTCCATTTATAACATTCATTTAATTTGTTTATAATAATTCAACAGAAGTCTGAATCAGTTAATGCAACTGATAGATGCAAACTTTGCAATGAACACAGCAATACAGACAAAAATGAACCCGTCAAAGAAGTTGCAATTCAAGCGAATGATTTTGAAATTGAAAGAAATTCTAGTCATCTTCCTGCTAGGAAAAGATACATACCAATTAAATTCAGGTATATTGTTGTTTTAGTTTTAGATATAATTTGTAATTACACTAACCAAGTATCTCAATAAAAATAAATACATGAATCCTTTTGTTTCTAATAGTTTATGATTATCAACACAGATTCCTTAAGGTATATGTTTATAACTTTCACTGTGCAAAATACACTAATTACTTGTAGGGTATATTTTGTATATTTGCATTACATTTATTAAATTATTAACTGTTACCAATAATTTTTAGTGACTACCGTATATTTGCTGGAGGAGTTAATGTAGAAGAGAAGGATGAAGAAGAGGAAGAAGACATCACTTTTGATCCTGAAAAAAATAATGTAAAAAAACCACCTAACTCTTCATCCAGAGGCAGAGGTAATGCAAGGATGTTCAATATGTTAGGTTTTTAAAATTAAAAAAAAAATATTCTTGAATAAAAGTTAAATCACAGGTACCCAGTAGTGTTTTTTTAATGAATAAAGATAACTTATAATTTCTTTTTTTGTTTGCATTCACATATTTTGTTATGCTTGTATTTATATATTAATGAATACTTAATGACATTTTAAAATTCAGCACAATTTTGGAATGTACTTAGTAAAAAAAGATCTGACACTGATATTGAAATCTATTTTAATAATTTTTGAATTATACAGGTCGTCCAAGAAAACATCCACCAACAACTGAAGGTGAGAATCCATCTATCCATTATTTCATTGAATTTTAGTTTTCTTTGATTTGTCCCGCTTACCGGTGTTTAAGTGTGTTTGTTGACAGATTAAATTATGAAAATAAATAATTATTTAAGTATTGTAAGTGTTACTATAAACCCACAGAAGCTCCACTGGATGGACATGGGGTTAAAAACAGCATCATCAAAGTCTCATCTGGATATAAATGTGGAACTTGTGGACGAATCTTCTCTTTACGAAGTAAGGGATAACTCAACGGATGACAAATAAAAGAAAACATTTGAGTGACCTTTCAACCTTTAGATTATTTTTTCTAATTCGGAATTCATTATACCAGTAATTAATGCTCACAATTGATATTATTTCTGATTTTCCCCACAATTTTTAAGGCAATGCCAAAGCACATATGATCACTCATACTGATATTCGGCCATTCTCCTGTGACTTTGAAGGGTGTGGAAAACAGTTACGAACAAAGGAAAGTCTTAGGCGTCACCAACTAAGCCATTTAGGTACACAGACTTTAAAACTTGTATTAATTGCCAGACTTTTAAAACATGAGGCGGCATAAGAAATACAGATTTTTAAGAGAAAACTAACATTTTAATAAATAATTTTAAATGAAGCACATTGACAAAAAAAGAAAACTTCCATTCTCCAGTTCTGTTTTGAAAATAGATTTGCCTTTAGACATAAACATAAGCAGGGCAACCTGAAGTTAGACATAAACATAAGCAGGCCAACCTGAAGTTAGACATAAACATAAGCAGGCCAACCTGAAGTTAGACATAAACATAAGCAGGCCAACCTAAAGTGTTAATGGGTTGGCCTCATATTTGTAAAAATCTGTCCTGGCCAACTTTGAAAATTGTATTGAAAATAGATTGTTGCTTCCAATCTCAGGTTTATTAGATATTACTTTAGAACCCCTGACATCTTTAATACTTGAGCATTTCCCACTAAACATCTTTCAGGAATAAAAATGTTTGATTGCAAAGAGTGCCAGAAGAAGTTCAGCTGCAATGCCAGTCTCCAAGAGCACATGGCGTGTCACACTGGTGCCAAACCCTTGTCATGTCACATTTGTAATCGTAAGTTTAGACAAATGGCTGTCCTCAAACGACATGTGATCACACACTCCACTGATAAACCTTTTGCATGTGAAGTTTGTGGAAAGAAATTTGCCATGAAAGTTTATGTGCAATCTCACATGAAAACTCACACAGGTGTGTATAATATTTTGTCTGTTGGATTGTATGATTTTCTGGGGGTATTTTGGGCAAAACACTAATTGAGAGAGAGAGAAACAGAAAAATTGTGATTTGTATTTAAAAAAAAACCACATTGATTGCTTTCTGCATAGTATAGCTGAGAAAAGTGAGAAATGGAAAGAAATTGGCAACGATCTCTGCACCACTGGGAGCAAGGAAAAGAGGTTTGTTGGAGTGCAGTTAAATCAGTCTCAGAGCTCATCATCAAGATATTAATAATCTGGGAAACTTTTAAAAATGTCAAGCTATTGTAACAAGTTTGTTCGTAATTATTTCTATTAGGTGAAAGACCTTTCCTCTGTGACACATGTAACAAAACATTTGCTCATGCGTCTGATCTCAATCGTCATAAAATCATTCATACAGGTAATACAAAAACAAACTATAGACATTTTACATTCTTTTCACTCATAGATTTTGTTAGAGTTTAAATGACAAATCGTATTCTTCTTATTTGTTTATGACTAAAGTTTTCACCATCTGGAAGCTAATTAAATTTATCTGAAAAAATATAATTAAAGAGCTGACGACATGAAATAAAAAAAAAGTATAATAGATCTTTAGGTGTTTAATAATCACGATTAAATTTATTGAATTGGTTTTTGGTTTTATTTTATACAATCCAAGGGAAGAAACCTTATGCTTGCTCAATGTGCCCCATGCGCTACAGTGATGCCTCAAGTCGTAGACGCCATGAGCGTGAACATCAGAGCAAGCAAGAATTTGTGTGTCCAATTTGTAGCCAAACATTTTCACGAGCTGGACTTCTCCGCAGTCATGTAGTTAGGGACCACAACTCTGAAGGCTTGTATGAGGTCCATGCTGTGGAAAAGGTGGGACATTATGAATTACATTATCAGCATTTTTTTTTTAATAGCCCTTTAAGGATAACATAATGGAAATATATTTTTTATTTTTTTGTTTAACTCATGTTAAAAAAATATTGTTTTTTTATTTCTCTATCTAATTATGCTTATTTATTTTAAATTGAATTTATAATGTTCTTCTATAGGAAAAATGCTATCAAAATTTATTTTCATGTCTTTGTTCCATTTAATCATTTACTGTGGATACCTAGTCAATAATTTTCATTCATTAAATAATATTTTTTCAACAAACTACCGTAAATCGAAGTATAGGAAGGTGTTTTCAAAATTTGTGTTCACCGCTCTAATCAGAATTCATGGTACGCTAAAGGCAACCAGTCAGGTTCAGTGGGTCAGGATATAACCACAAATGAGTGTCCGAGTGAAGTAGCTCAGCCATCCATAGCACACGTATTAGTAACATCATCTGACCTATCAACTCAGGTTTGCTTAACACAGTTTATATTTGTGTGATAAATAATAATCATCCATCCCTGTGACCCTACAGCCCGTGTATTGCTTTGGCCTGCTTCACCTCTTCCTTTCCACTCAGACCTAACTGATGCTTTTCATTTCCATTCTTGGATTCCCAGATGCTGTAGTTCTTTTTCCAGATTTTTTTTTTTTATCATCATACCAGACATTTTAGATTGGTGTTGGTTGGTGGGGTGTGTGTAACAATGTATATAAATTTAAAATTTATTGTTATGGTGATGCGTTCATGGCGCATTTTTCTTTATCCGTGAAATATATCTATTTTTGCTTTTGTAAAAAAAATGTGGAAAAATACCATAAATATTTTCTTTTCTCCAACCAGACGGCTAGTACCACCAAAGAGACTGTTTACATTTCTGCACTTAAAAGTGGTTCAAGTAATTTTTTTAATGAGACCTCAGGTGTAGAAGACCTGACAAAACTTCAGCCTGGTTGCACCTACACCATCGTGGGCCAAGATGAAGGTGGTCGGATTTATGAACTTCAGTTAGAGAACAGCAGCAACTTGACATACGAGTCCTTAGACACCCAAGTTGGGATGGAAACCAATGATGCATCACTTACACTCATTAAGCAGGAAAATGATACATTTACTATCCTTCAGCAGTCCTGTATTGAAGAAAGTACCCCAGTTCATATTCAGCCGCAGAAAAAGATAGCTGGTGCCTCACAATGGCAAACTGAAACTCTCCAACTACAGCAGACCTTGACCAATGTTGACCATACAGTTGAACAGTTGACTAAAACCATGGAGGATAATTCATCTGTTAAACAGGAGAAAGATATAAAATACTTAGAATTGAACCTTGCTTCTAACTTGGAAAATAGAGAAATTACATTTTTGTTACCTGATCAATTACAAGATGAAGATAATGGCCCAGTTGTTTATCCCCAGTCAGTAAGCAGTCAAGGAAACAACGGTGCAAAAGAAATAGTTCTGCTACCTGTGATGGATGTGACAGAAACAAAATCTCAGATGCCAGACTATGTGTATGAGCCAGATTTAAATAGTCAAGACTACTACAACTGGTTGTCAAGTTTCACAGAAGATTGTAAGACTCTTCACATGCCACTTGACAAGGACATGTTTCAGAAAATAAGCCATGTCCAGAAGACACTTTCAGACTTCATGGCCTTGCCCACTGGAGTTATTACTGATAAAAACAACTTTAAAGTTCTCATGAGCATCACGGGAGACCTATCTGATATCATAGGCGCCCATTTAGCATTTATGTACCAAAATCTGACATGATTTTGATTTACTGAAAATGAAAAATAAATGATAAAAGTTCTTATATAAGTGATGTAATCTTTTGAAACTAAAGCCATCCAAAAGGCAGAATGGGAACCTGTGAGTCACAGCACACCTGCCTTCCATTCCCCTGGTTACTCTGCTGGCAACGTTATTTCTCAACCAGGACGTCAGTGTTAAACATTAATGATTAATGTAGCTCCAAAATGAAGATCTTCAGGTTGGGAACTTTTAGTGTTGCTCTGAAGCTCTACCACTTCTATATGTCTTTGTTATCAGAAACTGTTGTCAGTGTGTGCAAATAATATGGAATCATGGATAAAGTCATTTAACCAGTTATTTGACTTTTTAATCACAACAATTGTCTTTAAGTATAAGAGTTAAATCAATGTTCTTGAGATTCATGATTCAGAAAATACTTTATTACATGTTTGCTGATGAGATTTCTCTTTTCTAAAAAAGTACTACTTTGATAGTACCGGTACCAGGTTCCTGTATTACTTGATATTTTTACATGTTCATTAAATTCTTTTATATTAAAAGCTGGTTTTTTTTTTGGGCTTTTTAATTCATTTGATAATGCTCCCAAATAATTGCTTGCTTATTTTTTAGAGTTCGGCACACAGTTTCTATTTTGTATAAAATGTAAATTTTAAAGATCAAAGCAATTTTATGTAAGGACTGAACTACCCTAAAGGAACAGTGCCAATAAAGTCACATTTTTCAATTAAATGTTCATAAACTATAAAATAAAATTCAACAGGTGAAATGTAATGTAATGGAAAGGTGTGAAAAGATGAAAGAAATAGTTTTTTCTATTTTCCAGGTTCTTGGTTAGTAGTAAAATTATTTTTATATATTAATTGCCGTTTTTTTTTTTTTCAAAATATAAAAAAGCAAAACTATTCAAACAGTATTTATCACACTGGTACGGTGTTTACAGGTATGGGTTATTTCAATTCTTTTATGATTTATCAAGAGTGCAACATAGTTTTAATTGATATTATAATTTAAAGTGTATGAGAACTTATCAATGAAATTATATTATACCGGTAACTGTATAGTTGGAAAAAAATGTTTTTGAGGATGAAAGCAGTAACAGACCAATAATATTATATCTCCTGGAATAATAAAATAAATGGATGAATTTGAATTGTCACCATCAAATTTTATTGCCTAATATCACAAGCAATGTTTCTATAGGTATGTATGTATGGCTGTCACCCTCTGTTAAAGTTAAAGAGCTCAAAAGATACAATGCCCCAAACTGTGTAAATTTGTGTTTTAATAGCCGTGGAAGATACAATTCCTATTTCTGAATGGGATTCTTAAAAATATTTATAGTAGTGAGATTTGTTTTTTTTACGTCAACTGAATCAATTTAAATCTATCAAAATAAATATGCTTAGGCCTATATTTAATCTATAAATTCTTTAATTTTTAGGTATATTTTTAAAAAATTAGCAATTAATTTAATAGGATAAAATTCTGAAATGTAAGCACTAATTGCGATTCTTTATAAGTGCATTACTTGAATGCATGTTTTGTCAAGTAACTTTACTAGATGGGATGTTCACACATAGCCGCCACCATTGCTTGCAGGTAATTTCAAGAGTTATATGAAAATTGAACATTTCAAAATTAAAATAAAGTACGGTAATGACAATAGTAGCAGTTTTTTAAATGAGCATGGTTTATTCAAACAAAAGTGATCACAGTTTCAGCTCTACTTGAACAGTATGTGTAAAATACCATTTTGCTAAGATAGGAATGAAAATGGGTAATTTTTGTACCGGTACAGCTATATTTTAACTATTCACAAAAATGGCCACCACTGCATGCAATTAATTTCTTTCATACAATTTATGTCAAGCTCATGACAATAAATACTAAGTTAAACCCCAAAAAACAATCACTTTAATAAATGCGCCTGGGGAGATGTCTCAAAATAGCCCCCCACAACACTTCTATTATATAATGTTGATAATTAACATCAACAAATGTGATCTCTGAGACATTCAACCCCAAGGCATGCCAATGCCTGTCACCATTAATGATTGGTATGATTTTTCTAAAATCAAAGGCAAAACATTCAAATGATGGAAAAGTAAATTAATTCTAGCTATTTAAATAACTCCATACTATATAATTGATGTCTTATTTTAAACTAATGACTGAATTCAATTCCTGAAAATAAGTGAAAAGTTCATAAATATTTTTAAAAAAATCAAACAAATTAAATAAAAGTAGTGGAAAGAATTGAATCATTGGAATATGACCCATCTTCTCTATATCTGTGCATTTTGGAGATGAATAACTCATGACACAGCAGTAGCAAAAGGTAGGATAGGAAAGAAAAATAATTCAGAAGATACATAAGCCTTTTATTGACATTTTGAGGTCCTGAAAATATATATTCTATGTTCTATTTACTGAAGTTTATGGAACTACATTAGAGTTGAAAACTATCAAGAATATTCCAATAAGCCATGGTTAATTCATTTTAAAAATATGCTTGAATCAGAGGAATGACAAAAGGGAGATAAATTTAAAGAGTATGTGACTTTTTCATACCAAGAATGACTTGTACTTATTCAAATGAGAATGTTATTGACATTGTAAATACATCTGAACCACCCTACTCTGTTTATTTACATTATTGATTTAGATACAGTGAAACTTTGCTATAATAGGACAGTGGGGGGGGGGTTCCATAAAATTGGTTTGTGGTAATTCAGGGTTTTACAATATTTTGTGTGAGTGTTTAAAAAAAAAAAGGAGAAGATTAGGTGATATTTCAACAAACAATATAAATCTTTTATGGTTAAGTTATAAAAATAAATAAAGGTGTATTAAATCCCTCTCAATCCACTATTTTTAATATTCCTTTTGTGTTAACAAAATGGAGAACATCACTTGCACATTTTTATGGAGTAAAATTTAAAAAATGAGTAAAAATTAAAAAAATGTTTTTTTTAAAAAATAAGGTAACCAGATCAGATAAATATTTAAAGAGATCTCAATTAAACTCTGTAATTAGATAGCCCATCTTATCTTCCCACTTCTTTTAATGCCATTTTATTGCACACACATTTTTGAGGCGAGAGTTTTAAAATTTGACCAAGAAATCTAGAGATCGAGTAGTCAAGACTTAATACATTAAATTTACTTTGAGACTAAAGAGCTGTAGATATAGAAATTTTCAGCTCTCTAGGATTTCAGGAACCTAAAGAAATATTGGGTTCAAAGAAGTCCAAACAATGACAAAAAAACACCACTCAAGACAAGTTCAATAAAAGGGGGTGATAATTCTACAATGCACACTTTGAATTTTATGGTACCGGTACTGACAATAATTTAACATTAGTATAAAATCCAAATTAATTTATTGCAGTCTTACAATAATTTCTGTTGCTCTCTGTATTTGAACAATGGAATAACTCATTCAGTTCATGAAAAAAAAAAGGTTATTTACTTATCTGCTGAGTCTTGATTTTCACTTACAAACCATTCAAAAAAAAAAAAAAGCAAGCAGAGTGATGGTATGTAAATCTCAGCAGTGAATCCATATAAGACTATTAGGGTTTATGACTTAAAATATTATGATCACTTTCAAGAAAAAAAAAAAGGTTATTTACTTATCTGCTGAGTCTTGATTTTCACTTACAAACCATTCAAAAAAAAAAAAAAAAGCAAGCAGAGTGATGGTATGTAAATCTCAGCAGTGAATCCATATAAGACTATTAGGGTTTATGACTTAAAATATTATGATCACTTTCATAGATTCAGCGATCCTAGTGTTAATGGCAATTAATAACAGATTTCTGGGGTTTGTATTTACCTTGCTTGAGTGAAATGAGACTTAGACAAATTAATATTGCTATACAATAGAAATACTGCATTATTAAGTAAACATTAACATATAATAAAAATTATAGACAAGGTTTTTGCACAATCAAACGTTCTAAATTAATCGAGTAGTCCTATAACATAAAAAAATGGGCATTAAAAACTTTTTAATTTCCTTATTTGAGCTATCAATTTTATAATAAATAATTCAAGAAAATTATATATCTTAGTGCTAAAAGTTCTCAAGTCATTAAATATACATTTTAAGTTATTCATTAAGAAAATTCCAACTATCAAAAAAAGTAATTTTGTGGGTCTCCCTCCTTAAGAAAAGGAATTGAGCACATATTAATTTTTTTATAATTTACACAACATGTTCAGCTCGACCAGATCAACAGTAATAACAATTCAGTTGCTTTTGACTAAGTTTTGCCTTAACTACTTTTAGCAAAGATGTCTTCATTTTCTTTTTTATTTCAACTAATAAAAGAAGGATTGAAGACACAGAAAACATACACACTAAAAGAAAATATCTACTAAGTAACATTGGGTCCTATATGCCTGCATCAAAATAGATTTTCTCCATAAGGTATCACAAGTTAATAATATATTTTGTAATTGTAAAGCACGAACATAAAAATGGTAAAAAAACAACTAATTTGTTTAAAAAAATTCAGCAGCTGTGACATTTCTAAAAGAATATGTAGCTGCAAAAGCTTTGCTGAAAAGTGAATTGGTATCAGACACAGAGGGGAACATAAATCTTATACTTATAGATTCATCTTTTACATATATAATTTCACAACTTTGTATGACCATTTTAAATAAAACATTTAGTCCAAAAAGTAATCTTAATATAGATCAATTGATTTTGAGAAGACGTTACCGTCATAGTCTTAGTCTTGATAAATGCTATCTGGCATGATCAGCAGTGTTGTTGTTCGAGTTGGATGCATGATCATCTATAATATCTAAATGACACAGAGGACATTTTTCTTGGATTGACAACCATTTCTGGAGGCATCCCTTATGGAAGACATGAGAGCATTGAATGACAACTGCCTCTGTCATTTCTTGGTAGCATATCGGACAAATGTCATTATTTTCATCCAGCTGCTCCTGACTAGCAGCCTGAAGCTTATTTACTTTCTGCCATGCAGACTGACGCAACCGGTAAGTCGCTACGCCCTTCAAAGCTGTTTGGTAGATATTGCAGTATAAATGGATAACCATCATCACAAATCGTATGACACCGCCAGATTCAAAAAGGAAAATATAGGCACCATTGAGGAAAAGAAAAATTCCACAAGAAAATTCTAAGCACCCAAAAACAGCTTTAATATAAAATAGAAAGTCATCAATGTTATCATGCAAATAATTTGTATGAGCCTGCAACATATTCACTGTGTAAACAGCTAAAGTACTTAATGATTTAATAATTAACTCTAAACTAAAAGCTGATATAGCTAGAAGCCAGGAAACACGAAAAGGGAACTGCCAAAGACGGACAACTACAACAAACGGAAAGGAGAAAAATATTAAATAAGGCAGCATTGGCCTAATGTGTTTCTTCAAAACAACATCATCTGTACTGGCTTTGAGAACTAAGTCTGCAGCAACGGTTTGCACAAAGTGTTGGTTGGCTACTAACAAAAGAACACAGTTCTGGAAAAGCAACTGAAGCCTTATGTCAGTTGAAATGCTGGTGATTCCAGTCTGCATTGCAAGTAGAACAAAAAGGAATCCAGACACAGCAGGCTGGAGGCTCTCTTCTTCATCATAGGCTCCTATTATGTTGTAGATAACCCTAAGGCACCACCCGCTTATGATACTTACAATGCTGGCCATACTCATGACAGAGAGAATGGTCTCACACATAGCATGAAGCACTTCAAAAGACAAGAGCTTGCAAATATTTAACATTTCTGACAAGCTCAAAGTGTTAAAATCAACGGCATCCGCTAAAGTTTTTGATATTAAAATTTGATACACAACTTTAGTAAAAAAAAATAGACGTAGAAGCCAAGATAAATTAGCTTTCTCCATTAATCGTAACATGAGACCATCAAACCCCATTTCCCTGACACGAACTTTGACATCTCTTAGAGCAGGAATGACTATCCCCACAATGGTTAGTAAGACAAAAAACGAATGAATCAGTAGCAGTATTCCTGGGAGAACAATTGCAAGTTTTGGTGAAAGTTTGTATATGATGTGATCTTCACTAAAAAATGAATGCAGAAAAATCGGCAAAGTAAATGACAGAAAGAGAAGGACATCTGTAGGATATCGAGCAAATTTTATAAGTGCTTTACTCCGGTATAATGTGCCTACAATGCATATCTGATCAAATGCCAGGACAATAAATAGCTGTGTAATGATGTTAATTATCAGAGATGGTGCTTGCAATTTATAAACAGAGTATTCATACTCTGCTTCCTCATAGCTGCCATTAGTTTTTGCAAATTGAGGGGAAAGTGTGTCATGTTTTAATCCATTGACCAGCCGATCATTACAATGATAGGAAAAAATCAACAATCCAGAACCAAGGCAGCAACCATAGACTTCAAGCAGCGATTCAATGGGGCTGCAAACCAATATCAGTGAGGACACAGTAACTGAAATAGAAAAAAAATTCTGAATGAAAATAAAAATAATGTCAACTCTTGAAATTTATGATCCACTATAATTATTATATTAATATATTTAATAATATGCTGAATGTAATTGTATAAGCCCAAATTCACATGCTTATTATAGTTATTGTGGTAATTATTAGTTGAATATCACAATACAGGTTACTTAAATTTAGAAGAGTGAACAGCAATTAAGATATAACGCATTATGATTATAACTTCATATTTAATTGTCATTCCCACAACTGGGCTGTAATTAAAATAACAACAAAGACATAAATTATTGAACTGTGGCTAAGAGAACTCACTGAATGGCTGTTTGAAATAATTTATTAGAAATGTCTTGTGTTCAAATTGTTTTTATTTATGTGCTGAAAATGTATATAATGCAATAAAAAAACATTTCCATTTATTTGGATCAATAAAAGAATCTCATCTTATCTTATGTAGGTAATTTGGTAACTCATAGGACATTACTGCTTAATTTAATTTGAAAATAGGCATTTACGCAATTAGAATCTAAGCTTTTCTTTTTTCCTTTTGTGTGTAATTTCATTTAACAACCAAGTCTTTTTGTTCTACAGTTAAGTTCTAATTCCCCCTTTCCATGGGAAGACATCTTGACCCACATTCCCATTGAATAGTTTTGTTCTTTCGATCTACTGTAATTTTAAAAAATCCTTGGTCAATATGAGGTAACTGTCCATTTACATATTAAATCTTTGTATTTTATGCTACTTCGGTTTAAGCAAAATACATTTTTAGTAGATAACTGCAAAATCTCATTGTGCTAGATCTTGAAACTTTTTTGTCATGCTCCTCAGAGTGAACTGCATTGTGCAAAGGCAAAAGAGAACATTTTCGATAAGGAAATCACGACAACCTCTTTTTTTAAATAGTGGAAGACACTGAAACTTGAAGAATATTAAATTATTGCCACTATATAAATCAAAATATTTGATAAATTGTAAATAAGAATGACTTTAGAAGGCTTTTGAACAAGAAGATTTTGACCTGGTAGAGTCCATATTATAAATTATCATGATCTTAAATTTGCCATGTCCATGTCACGCCATGTGCAAGCAATTGTCATGGGCAACCATTCACAGCCACTTGCACATGGATTTACTACAATACTATTCTCAGAGTTTCATTCATAGGAGATTACTGTGTGCAACACTATTGTACCACTCAATGACCAATGGTCACGGAAAGCTTTCTTAATTGGCAGTGTCTACATGTCCCGCGCGCCGGACGTATATCTCCCGCACTATTTGTCCGGCGACCAAGTCACATGACCGCCATAACAAAGTGGCGAAAGATACCTTGTCGGTCAGCCTTGTCATGTGACTGCGAATGATTCAAAACTATTGTTAATTTTAAAATCTATTTCTCTACCAAGTAATGTACTGAGTATCTTGAATGCAAATAATAGAAAAAAACTTAAGTGAAAGTGGCTTGTAAACATTTTTGTTTAGTTTGTTATTTGAGTTTGTGTACCAGTAATCCATAAAATAAATTAGGGGCCAGTATGGAGTAGGCAACCAATAAAAGTAAAAGATTCATTTTAAATTGTTTCAATTGCTACAAGATATTTAAAAACTTCTCATGAAACTACTATTGCAGATGAACATGATAATATAAATATAGTATAAAATATTTTTAATTAAAATGGGGGAAAAAAAAACGATCCTATGCCTGGTATTGATCCTCAAATCATAATAACGTCACGCGATCACTCTACCACAAGACCACACAATATCTGCCAGATATCACTTTGTTCAGAATGATAACAACTACTAGCTGTCCGGCGGTCACGTGACATGCTGCCGGACGTATATCTCGCGCACTATTTGTCCGCGCCGGACGTGTAGACACTTTGTTCTTAATTAGTCAAGTGGAAAAGTTGAAAGTTCAAAATAAGTAGGCTAGTCTCTAACCAGTATTCGTAAGGGGGATGTGTTATGTCATATAGGTTATATACCAGTAGAATGGAAGCATTAGACTTGGTAAACAGAAAAGTCATACAGTATAGTATTATATATATTAAATTTACTGATAATACACAAAAAACAGTACATATCTAGATATGTTACAATTTATTTATAATTGCAGAATATTGTTAAAATTACTTTAAATATATAGCATTAATCCTGAGAATTTAAGTCATATAAAATTATAATTAAAACAAGATTGATAGCGCTTGAAACAAACAGTGGATTTGGGTCACAGAATCAGAATGTAGACCATGGTAAAAAAGGAACTGGTACTTTAAAAATTCATAACTCAAATGCTAACTTAAGATAAATAGTTAATTTTGTTTTCATTTTTTAAATTTATAATATTTTATTTATTATTTTGAATTTCTAAATTTTTTTACCCAAGTCGCCAAGTACCTACTATTTTTTTTGGTTTTATTTTGTTTTGCTAACTTTATGAATGTGATGTTCTTAACTTAATAACATAATTTGAATCAGTGATCATATTTTGCATTAATAATAAGCCTCCTACCAATAATAAGCAATACAACCCAGAGCAGCAGCGTTAAGTAATCCAGTAAACTCCTTGACGCTATTTCAGCTTGCAAATTTTCTGGATGGTATATTATGCTCGGTGATCCCCATGGAAATTCATTGTTGGTTATCTCAATTTTGTGGTTAGAAAATGTCCCTTTCAACACAGAGTCGACTATAAATAGTAATGGTAATCTTCCAAAAACAACGAATAGTTTTTTTATAGTGGACATTTTTAAGTCGAACCATCTGCTTAAGTGGTACAACAAAGTATATTTCGTTTGATATATAACATAAAACACAACAACGATGAAATATCTTTTCCTGGTATTTGCTACTTTTACTACTTCTATATCATTGTCTCCCCCAACTTACATTTCCAGGTACAAAATGAGAAAGTAGTCAAATATATACTGCTATATTTTTATGATGAAGTTTATTGCATCTCTTTTTTGTTTACCTTTTATGGATTGAATCAAATTACACTAATGTAAACCATGGGGTAGTTTTTTTTTAATATAATAATTTCAATATCTTTTGCTTTACGGAATATATTTTAATTTTAACTTTTTCTTTTTGTATGCGTAAATATCAGACGAATTATTATCTGGCATATATTAAAACAAAGAAAATTAAACTTCAAGTTAAAGAATGTCCTAAATTGAGACAATCAACAGAACAGTTGTTTTCCATTCACCGCTGGTTTTCAGACTAACTTTTAGCCGGCCTAACACCAAAACATAGAACAACAACACAATTTTAAAAGATATATAAGACATCAACTTTCATCACAATAACCCAATTTTTAAGAAGTGTTTAAAACAATAGACAGCACATTTATTGCAGACTACTTAATTAATTATTAATTAGGTACTTTACCACTACTACTACTACTAAATAAAAATAACTACTCAAGTCTTGACTACTATTTATTAGGCCTAATTAAAGTTAATTAAACTATACTGACCATACTATACTACTATAAATCTCTATAATTTATAATAAATTAATAACTTTGATAACTAATCACTGTAGAGACTAAAGAGTTAAAAGACGTTAAAAGAGTTACTAACTCAGAATATCACTAAGAAGGCCTATTAAATTTTGGCTGCAGCTATTTGGACCCGGTATCAGAAGTGAGAGCAGATTATTAATTAAAAAATGTTATTGTTGGGTTTGTAAGATAAAATTTGTTATTTAATGAAAGATAATAGAATGGACTATATATTTGTTTGTAAACCTAATTCTTCAGTTTAACTAAAATAACCTCCACAAATGACCTACCCAAAAGATATCCCTGATGCCCATTGTTACGATAGAGCAGCACCTGGCTACTCCATGGGAAAATAATAGCAGCTAGAAACTATACTATAATTGTCAGCTATACTGAAAATAATCATATTTATACTTCCGAAAACAATTATATTTAGTCTTTAACAAACTTTTAATTGATTCTGCATTATAAAATTTAAGTGTAAAAACTTTTTAACTTGTTAACAAGCTAAAGATGTAATAAAATGTTTTTCCGACAATTTTGTGTTATTAAAAATACATGAGCACAAAGTAAAACATATTTATAAATTTTTTGATATTATAATTCATTTTTTTAGGTGGGGTTGTTATAAAATGTTGACATAATTAAATAGGGGGGGGGGGTCATCGAAAGTTTGACAGTTAGTTGTTGACAAGGGGGGGGGGGGTGTTCAAAAATTGAGGGAAAACTTGCTGACATAGTTAATGTTATTTATATTTTGTTATAAAATTATAATGTTCTTCTCATTAAGCTAAACAAAGTGTGATTAGGCCTACTTAAATAAAGTTTTAGTTTATAGTTTAGTTACTACCTCATTGTCTGATGCCGTTGTTTGCAAACCAAGTAAAATAACTAATGAGAGATAATATGGATTATTGGCATAATATTATTAATCCATCAACAACAATGTCTTTTGAACTGCATGAAATTTCTTATTGCAATTTCATCATTTTTTGTTTTTTACTTATGCCTATGCAGGTTTGCAGTGTCTCACTTTTCAAGATGACTCTAACAGGAGCCATAATAGTGTTTTTGACCTCTTTATCTGCACTGCCAATATCGTACACATTTAATACTATCTCAAACATCAAGGATCAGAGATTGATATTGATTACTGGGCTCATCTCATTCGCATTAGTTTCAGGTGTCCCATGGATGATTTTAAGAAGAAAACTTCAGAAAGTTGATTCCTTTTTCTACGGTTAGATAGCTTTTTTTTTTATTTTTTATTTTTTCTTTTTTTATATAAATTAAAAATTATCTTTCAATTTCTTTTCTTTTTTCACATGAAGCACAAATCATACGATTTGAAGTTATGATATTTTGTTCATCAGTGTTAAAATTATTTTCTTTTTTTATCATTTGTCTTGAAACATCAATTACATTTTACATTTTTAGGTTCTACACAAAAATATCTTAATTTAATGATATTAGAAAAAACACTTATTAAAAAGTCCCTGTTTTCAATCATGCATTTGTCAGTTAGACCTAAGAGCTTGTAATAAAATAGTGATAAATAAAACATTTTACATTTAATTAGTCTGTTCTGATTACAATTTTTCAGTGCTGAGTCTTCTGACATTTAGTTCTGTAATGAGCTTGATTATTGCTTTGGAAAACGATGGCCTCATCGCTGAATTTATGGGATTTTATTTAAGAGAAGGAGAACCATATCTGAAGACAGCTCATGGAACTATGATCTCTTACTGGGATGGTATTGCTCATTATGGCCTGTACTTGATGATGCTTGCTGCAGTTTCTTGGAAGTATTAAAAATTGAGATTTAAATCCATCGTAATTAACAGTATATCACTCAAGATTTTTTAACCCTTTTATTTAATGTATATAATTTTTTAAGGCTTAATCCACCATTTAACAACATTGCAAATGTTATTCAATAAACTCCTTGGTAAATTTGTATTATTTAGTATCATATTAAAAAAAAAAATGAAATAAGAATTGTGCCTGTATATATTTTTTTAACACAGCCAGAGTTTCTATGATGTTGGTCTTTACTGGGTCGGCTCTTTTGCCTACAGCAAGCTTGTTTTAGTGTTGGCAGTTTTAATGGGTAAGTTAGTGCTCATATCTTAATTGATAAATTGATTTAAAAAAAAAATTCTAAGTGAAGAGTAACATGATAACCAATGATTTTTATAGTTGTCATAATTTACAAACAAGCTTTGAATAAAGAATAGCAACAAATATTTCCAAATTTTGCGGACGAGCTTTAAAAAAATGATTTAGCTTCCCATTGTTTTGCGTCCAATTAACAAATCAAAAATATACATTCGTAAATAGCTTTCCTTTCATTGTGCACACATTATGACTTTACTTCCATCCTGTAAAATTGAAAATCCAGTTGTTTACCTTAAAACTTATTTCAAAATAAATTTTGACTTTGAGAAATGGCAATTGGTCTAGATGAGGATAAAAATTGTGTAGATTACAGGATATGAATATGTGAATCAAATGGTTGATATGAACAAAACTATTTATTCCCATTTTCAAAAAAACAAGTCATATTAACATTTATACCTTTTAGGGGCTCAGTAGATATGATTGATTAAATATATAATTATGCTAAATGCGGGTTTGTTATGGTTGACTGACTTCTGTAGAGATAGTAGGACATATTCTGGAACAATTTATTGATACTAAAGCTTTCAGAATATAGTGAATGAGGAAAATGAAAATATACAGAATTGTATTCTTGTATTCCATAATAGGAGAAGACGGACTACGTTGGCCATTTCTACTCAATTTTCCCTGCATAATCATTTGTGCAGTGGTGTCTTTGAGATTCTTGAATGAAAAACATGAAGAAGGTTGTAGACTGAAAGCAGAACTTAAACCAGAGGTAAAAGTTCATTATCATTGGATGCTCATTAAAGCTTAAGATTGTTAAATGGTCACCACAAAATATTGTTAAATGGTCACCACAAAATATTGTAAATGTGGTGTCCCTCTAGATCAGTCAATAATAAATATTATCATTAAATAACAAAGCTATGTATAAAAAAAGGCTGCGGCTATTCGGACCCAGGTCCGAGAAGTGAGAGTTTGGGTTTATTAAAAAATATTTAAAAATTATTGTAGGGTTTGTAAGACGAAATGAGGTATCAAATGAAAGATAATTGCATGGACTATATTTGTGTAAACTTACTTCTTCAGTTTAACTAAAATAAACTACAACAAATGGCATCCGAATAGCAATTAGTCAAAATAGACCCGGACAAGCAGCGCCGCTCTCCGGACCCGGGTCCCTTTAGACTCAATGCTATTTGGATGTCATTTGTGGTAGTTTATTTTAGTTACAATGACCCTACAATTTTCAATGACACCACACTTCTCAATGACTCCAAAATTCTAAATGACATAACAATTCTCAATGACACCACATATCTCAAGGACACCACAATTCTCAATTGCACCACAATTCTCAATAACAGCACACTTTTCAATGACACCACCATTCTCAATAACACCACAATTCTCAATGACACCACAATTTGTAATGACACCACAATTCTCAATGATCTTCAAATCTCTATGACACCACAATTCTCAATGACACCACAATTCTATATGACACCACAATTCTATATGACACCACAATTCTATATGACACCACAATTCTCTATGACACAACAATTGTCAATGACACCACAATTCTAAATGACACCACAATTCTCACTTGCCTCACAATTCTCATTGACTCCACAATTCTCAAAGACACCACAATTCTAAATGATGCCACAAGTAATGAATGTGAAAATTAAAAAAAAAAAAGATTAATTTTGGTCAAATTTATTTAATTCTTTTTTCTAGGAAAAGATGACCACACCATCAATTACTAGTATCAAGAAGAGGCCATTGGACATCATTCTTTTAGCTTTCAACATCTTTGCTATTTGTGTCACCATTTTTAGATTTATTGTAAGTTTCTGCTATTAAATGCATAACCCGCTGAAATAAGGAAAGCAAGAAGCATTTTAAGAAAAATTAATTTTATGTCTATCGTCATTACTTTTAATGTGTCCACAATCCTTTAAATAATCTGAAATGCCAATTAAACACTTCCAAGTAACACTGATACTCTAAAAGTTTAAAAATTATAATATATTAGATGCTTTGGTTATATAAATAATTTTTACTTTAATTTCTGTTTAGAAAGTAAGGTCTGCTACTCCTCTATATTTTCAAAATTGTTTGTTCTTTTGCAGGCTGTAATGAAAGGAAACATTGGCATTGTGAATGTTTACAAAGAGAAGATTGAACCGTATCTGACAGATCCACTGCCATATCCTAAAGCACAGGTCAGTAAACTTACTTTGATACAAGCTGTTGGGAACACATTGTACTTTAAGTACCTTATCCAAGATTTTAAAAAAAAAATGTAACATCAAAATGACTCTCTGTGTATTTGACCCATAAACTGGTGGTCACAGTTATCCACTTATGGTATGAACTGTTCCCAACACCATGCAAAGTACAAAGAAAATATACTTTATAATCATACTTAAATTAATAAGATCCGATGTTATTATTTTATTATGCTCTGTTCTTCAAACCAAGTACCGGTACAATAGGTTTTTTTAATTTACTGTTACGCACCATTATGGTTTTTCTGTGTAAAGATTTGGCTTGTAGAATTAGCATAATGTAACAAAGGACAGAGGTAAACAGTATGCAAAGAAAAGCAATACCATAGTTAGTGATAGTAACAATATTTAATATAATTATACTATTAAATTTCTGTACAAATTCAAAAGAATAAGCAAAAATTATTTAAGTTGAGCTTAAGCAATATGAATGAAATTCAACATGTTTCCACTGCTCCTCATGTAACATCATTAAGTGTAGCGCAGATCAAAAGGGAATGATAGATAAGACAAAAAGGCACAAATGGGAAAGCTTCTATTGCATGAAGATAAGCTGAAAAGTCAACCATTCATATGTGTGACAACAACAACAGCTGCCTGTTGAAATGAAAATACCGTACCACAGAGACCAACAACACACATCTTATACCAGTATGAAAAAGGAGGTGGGGCGGAATGACGGGACATCTTTTTTTTGGACTGATATCTAAACAATCATTAACACTGAAGTAGTTTAGTTTCAACAAGCAAAAAATTATAAAAAGCTTTAATATTTGGTTGCAACTAAAAGTAAAGGATTTGTATAATCACATCCAGGGCTAGAGATGCTAAATTTCCACTGGCTTCCCTTTTGTTGCTCTTAGATTTAATGACTAGAATAATGAAAAACTAAAACCATGCATATCCAAAAATGCATCCAAAAACAAAAAGGTCCAGGAGATATAATTGATGTGTCAAATAATGTTTTCAGATGATGATACATACTCTGTACTTTATCCCATACTACATCATGAGCAGTTATGCCCTCCTCTGGCCGGGTCAGTCCTGGATTCTACGATGGTCTCTTATACAGGCGGGGGCTGCAGGCCAGGTAAGATCTGGCTTTAAAAGAGACTTTTAATTTCAATAAGTCAACAAAATCTTCCAAACAAACCACAGACTCTGTTTTCTTTCTTGCTTGGTTCTTGCATGTAGTAGCATAATTTTACCAATTAATTATTGCAATAACCACATCCAAGCATTCAAATACCATAAATAAAATGTATGAAACTTCAACGCCCCACCCCGCTTTACCCCCCACATTTTTAGTCTTTAATAACACCTTTACAAATGCATGGACGTAAACATGATTATAAAAGATAATTTTCTTGACTTCTCTCTAGGGCCAATTCACATACATGGGATCATCGTTCCACTACAGGACACCTTATATCCACCGTGTCCCTCAGACAGCTCTGGCAAAGTCCATTTTCTGGCTGGTTAATGGCATTTTGTTCATTGTGCCCCAAATCGCTGCTCTGCGCTGCCTAAATAATCCTGATTTTTTCTTGCAGCAAGAAAAACCCACCTCAGTGGAACAATCTGGTTCATTAGTGAGTAATGGCAAGCCTCCTAGTATTACAGGCAGTGTCAAAAAGATGGACTAAACTGATCAAATTATAGCGCTGAAACCTTGTAAGTGATATTTACATTTTGAATCTTCAAGCAGCCGCGCCATAGTTTTAAGTTAGGCTCAGTCGTTTAGAAGTAACAGTTTTGGTATAAGCTCAAAATAACTTATCATTTCAAATATTAATGATGCAAATTGTAGAAGTAGATTTTAATTTAAAAATTGCGTCTTTATCAAAATAAACAGCTAAGATCACGTAGCTGACTGATGATCCTTGTATTTTATATTCACAATATTTTATATTTAAAAAAAACTATTTTGTATATAGAGCAATCCAAGAGTCTTATTTTATTCAATGTTTTGTATAATCCAATCAAAGATACTTATTTTGTCAAGATTTTTTGCTGAAATTTAAAAATCAGTGATTAAATAATTTTGTGAAGAATATTGTGATATATTGAACTAATAGAATTGATATATATATTATTAACATTTATCGTCTATGATCTCTAAATCACTTTGAAATCACTTGCACTTATATAATAAAATACATTAAGTAATTCTTTTTGTAGCAGGACATTCTTAAGTCTTAATTTAAGAACAAAAATGTTGAAGCTCTTCATTGAATGCTTACTATATATCACACTAGAATGTTCCACTTACCTCTTACACAGTAATATTACAAACCTCCTTTGTTTTATATAGGCAACATACAATAATACACCTTTATACAGGCAATCTACTTTACTTCTAATTCCATATAATTGATCTATGTAACTCATTCCCAGGGACACCCTACTTATTTTATTTGTCTTTATTCTTGAACAAACTTCAATTTTATGACAACATATGATCAGTCTTTTTTTTTCTTTTTGAATCCTAAAAAGATATTTAATTAATTATACCGTAGGCCAACCAAAGACAGATGCATCCAGAAATAAAGAAAATATTTTTAATCCAAAAATAACTCTGCTTTAAATGATAGATTAATGACAAACTGCTCAATTTTAGCATCCTTATAGATGACAAAAAGAACAAGATAAAAATTTACATTAAAAAAAAATATAGGATCTCATCACCATTTTGTTGAGGTTGGCAGTCACAGGATGTCGGCTTCTGTCACTTAGGCTAAATAAAATGGGAGTTGTTTCTCTGTATGCATTTAACTGCATCTGGTTGGATTCCCATTAGTGCAAATGGTAGGGATGAGTTCAACCTAATCTTCCTTACAATTCATTAACTATATATTGCATAGTGATGTATTAATTACCATAAAGTTCTAAACCAATGTCCTACTAATCAGATCTATACCAATGTTCTACTTATCAGATCTATATCAATGTTCTACTTATCAGTTCTACTAATCAGCTCTTAACCATTTATTTAATGTTCAAATCACCTATAATCCTTTACATTTCCACCAATATTTGATAAATAGTTTTGGTGTCATATCTCTATGATCTGTACAAATACAAGATCCCCTTTAATGTTACACAAATAGTGCAATGTTTTCTTCCTATTAATGATAAAAATAAGATTATGAAACTTCTTTATATGTTTGTTACAGTTTGTGGAAATTTCTTCTCTGAAAATCACCCTATAAGTGAATGATTTTGGTCTGCACAGATGTGTGATTGTACTTAGAGCTCTTTCTTGCAGTGGGTGACATTGCCCATGATTTACCTCCACAATTACCATATAATGAGCTGACCATCTCCACCGCCAGCTTTTTATACTATTTACTGATCATTATTTAACATTAGTTAAATTATTGATTATATGCATATTTTATCCAACTCTCATGAATCATTGTACAACATGACAGCTACAGGAAGAGTGTTGTTACTACTAGACATTCAATCCTGTTTTCAATGTTCATTTCTATTAACCCTCGAACTGTGGCATGCATCATTCTGTGGTGTGGGAGCTTTTCAGAGCTTTTGGAGTGCCTTTTGAAATTGCTTTAAATGACATAGAAATATTGATACAAGACCCCAATAAGTATATATTTTTAGAAAGGTAAATGGATGGGGATAAAGTTGGCTATATTGCCCACCCATAAAAAAATTTTTGCTCAGTGTCCTTGACCTTGGAGTGCTCAAGAAAAAAAAAATCGACAAAATGTCTTGCTTTCAAGTGCTCATAACATCATTAATTTTTATAGATACACTTAAAACACTATCTAAATATTGTAGCCAATTCACTTATCTTTCAGAAAATGTATAGTTTGCTAGGTTTTGATTACAATTAAACCTCTGAAAGCAATTTTAGTAATTTTAGGTCATTTATATAAGAAACTGGGACCACAGCTAAAACCAAGTACAAAATACAAAATCTCAGGCAAAATATTTGTTATTGACTAGTAAACATTTAAAAAGGAACTTTGGGACTGATTTGGGTTGTTTAACTATAAAATTTATTAGTTCTGATCTATAATCTGTAGCTTCTGTGACTAAAATTCAAGTCAGTCCTTGCCCAACCTCCGGGCCTGGCTCGAAGTCTTACAGTAACCTCAGTAGGCCTACTTCAGTACCACTAAGACTAGTTATAAGATTCACGAGAAGAATAATCTCAACTGATATCGTCATGCAGAATGTTAAAATCATCATCAGTATCACTGAAATCCTCTCGTGAAAAGCTTTCAAACATATTTCTATTAGTTCTTGCACTGAAGGCCCAGCCATGGCTTTCAAACATATTTCTATTAGTTCTTGCACTGAAGGCCCAGCCCATGTTAGCTTTAAAAAAAACAGCAATATAAAACTCCAATTAAAAAGTATTTATTTTTAAGTTATCAAGGAACAGCTTGAACCGGAAGATGATTTAATTATTAATAAAAGGAAGTGGCTATAATTCCGGTTAACTATTGGATAGGAAGTTGCTATCGGACTGTGTTTTTAATTGGCCAATTTTTTTCGGCAGCCACAGCACAGAATGAGAATATCGGCTGATTTTGTTGGCCGACCAAAGTTCGAGGGTTAAGTAATCTCATAGGTTTAATCATTGAAATGTTATCTCTGTCTGTGCCTTAACAGCATGTGCACTTTTCATCATAATGTCACAAGATACTGGATACAACTTAGTATTTCTCAAGAGGCTGGTTCTGCTCCATGTTAAAACTTTCCCTCCTAAGGACAAGACTGTCTTTAATGTATTGGATCTTTTAAACACTCACAGTTTCAAGTTTATATTAACTAGAGCTTCTGAGCCAGTTATGCTGGTTCCAACCTGAGGTTTCTGGAGCTTTTGTTGTTCAAGAAGATAATAGAATTGTGAAGTTAATCCCATTAGAAAATAGCTCTAAAATTATCCACCTAGATTGTAGTGAAAGATTCAGTGGGGCCTTGGAATCCCCATGAAAATTTCTATTTGGAATCCAAATGTCCAGCACTTCTTCATGTGTTTTTCTGCGTTCATTTCCCCAGCCCTAGGGGTCATCCATTTGCTTTTTCTTTCAGTTTGTTGTCACAAGCTGTAGTGAAATCATCTTGTGTCACTGCCAATTATGTGCCGGTTTTGTGTTGTTTTATACAATAATTTAGTGTATTCTTCATGGGTCCTTAATGTGTTGTGAGGAAAATAAGTGCAGAGGTAAGCCGTTAAAGCCACAAATGAAATGAAGAAAGATCTTATAGCAAAGCATGAAATCGGCACACGCGTTGCCTATCTCGCTAGTATGTTCATGTTCGCTTGTCTAAATGGACTGTTGCACGATTTAGAAATCGCAGGAATGGATCAATCCAGTTTCTGTTATTTGAAAGGGCGAAAACTGTCTTGAAACTCGAACGATTCAGAACTCAAACGGTGCTCTCAAATGGATTATTTCAGATTACAAGGCCCCACTGTATTTGATTAATTTTGATATTTGTAGCATTATTCAAGAAATTGTAGCCAAGTGTATTTGATTTGCAGATTTTTAAAACTATAACGCTATCACTTAAAGTTGTTTGCAGTGTCTATTTACAATGGTAGAAGAGCCATCACTATGATCAGCTAAGGGTCGTTAGCAAATTCTGTCACGCAAAAAATGAACTTTTCATACCACCCCCCCACCCCTCCCCTCGTCACAAAGTGTCACAAATTCTCTCCCCCCCCCCCTAGTGTCGCGTCACACCTAAAATAATTAAAAACATACATAAAATTTTCATACCTAAGCTAAGATTTCTATTTTATTCTTTAACATACCCCCCCCCCCCCCTAGTGTCGCGTCACACCTAAAATAATGAAAAACATACATAAAATTTTCATACCTAAGCTAAGATTTCTATTTTATTCTTTAACATTTTCCCATAATGGATTAAGATGTAGCATTATTAGAAAACTGTGATGGAAAACAATGAAGTCCTCCCCAAGCCAATTTTAAAATGGCAACAACAGTTTTTTTTCGTAATTTTCCTATATGTCCAGAGGGTGTGAGCGACTGAGTTTACGGTACTTATAATACCTGAGGCAATTCTAAAGTGTCACAAATTCTCGCCCCGCACCCCCCTTCCTCCCCCACTGTGCATGAAGTAATTTGCGAACTACCCCCTAGAGTTTTGATGGTAGAAGTGGCATCTCAAGGAGCAGCTAGAGTTTTATATCAAAGATCAAGAATCATTTAGTTCCATTTTTCATTATATTAAACCATTAGTCAGGCTGTCACTGAACTTATAAGTTTTCATTAAATTAAATGTTGATAAATTCTATTTCTCAGAATAATGTCTAATCATCTGTATAACATGTAGGTCTTCATGCTCATAATGATATAATATTCAATTGTACTGGTATCAATGTAATGGGTCAAATGCATGTTTATCTATTCAGAAAATGTGAAGCATGTTATCAAACAATTGTATTGTATTCATGTTTTTCAGATGTTTTTCAGGAACAAACCAGCAGCACTTTGCCTTGCCTGAATTGGTGTCTCATGTAATATTAAATGTATATATTCTTTAAACTCTATTTTCTATTGAACAACTTTGGTTTATTTTTTTATATTTGCAATATTTGAACATCTTATGGATGTGATGTGTTGGAATATGTGCTAGAGACATACTTGAGGAGTCCCATGTGGCTGTTGCATATAACCAGTTGATGGGTGTGAGCGGTTACTTATTAAATGGACAAGCTGTCTTAACAAACATGATTACAGCAATAAGTAATTATTTATTAAAATTTATATGAAAGTGAAATGGAGGGAAAAATAATAAGACTTAATTTAACTAGTCAATACTACGCGTCAATGAATATGCTTTCAATAAAGATTATATTATGCTGAACTAAAATTGATGTCATTGTTTGGTCATTTCTTGATATTAACAATCTGCAGCTGAGGTGTATAACTTAATCATTTGTGTATTTTACTTATACACATTTTAAGGCAACACTATTC